GTTTCTAGTTTTAAAATGTTATCTATTGTCGAACGGCATTTCTGAAATCCACTTTGTCTATCAGATAAAGTGTTGCGACTCTCCGGTACATAAATAAGTCTGACATTTATTATTTTTTCTAATAATTTACATAGACAACTAGCGCTATTGGTCGATAGTTAAATGGATTTTTGAATCTTTGCCAGGTATGGGGGTATAGAGGGTCAATTTAATGGAAAACCCTTGCAAATTTTATTAGACAATTAGAGCAATTAAGAGGTGCTATTCTGAAAGGTGTTTGTAAAAAAATTTAATATGTCATAATGATATTGATATATTTAGGATGACCGGGAAGGGATCCTTGCGATATAGATTATTTTCCACAGATAGCTGGCAAATCGGATCTATGAGAGGATAACAGGTGGCAAGGCCAATAGAATGGTAAGTTCGAGCTGGATAAGGAAAATGTGTTTTTTAATTTTTATTTAATAAACAAAGTTGATGATTATCGATTAATTTTCTCCACGTGAGAGTCGCGAGTGTTGGATACTTGATTTCTCCAGAGAATATTTGTGTCCATTAAAATCTATTAGAATATAAGGCGCTGGAAGTTGTCAATTGTAGTTGTAAATATCAAAATCAGTTTGTAATATATTGGCTGATTGGATGGTAGATATGAACGGCAGATTGTGGTCAGTGAGTTCAAAGTAATTTGCACAGCAATAGCTTGTAAAGTGTTTGTTAGAACAATTGAATACGGATAATGTTTTGAAATTAGGAGTAAATATTTAATCCTGATAGGCTAATATTTAATTCGCGACAATTCGAAGGTAAAATTTCATTCGCCAATGTCTTTTAATTTTAAGGTTTCCCCCTTTTCTTTTTTTTTCTTTTTTTTTTTTTTTGAGAAAGGTTGACTGGCGTGTTCATCGCTTCTTCAACTTGCATTTATCCAGAATCATATGTGTCATTTACCTCAGTATTCACATCAGAAGTTTTCCCAGTCCCACCCTGGGACAAGATTGAGAGTCTTATTTTTTTACCAATGAACACATCTGTTAATAAATATATTAAGTATAGAATAAATGTTTGAGGTTGATTTTCTCAAAACTTACTTTTACTAAAGAAATTTAGGAAAAATTCATCTCATAATTAACTTAATGTTGATAATTTCTACATTAAGACCATATGCTTAAGTATATTAATCAATGATCAGCAATAAAAAAAAACTTAAAAAATAAAAATTTAGTGAAAATTCAAAATTGTAATTGCTAAGAAAAATTTAATTACTGTCCCTCACTTAAAGGCTTTAAAAACACAGGAAGAAAATATTTAATTTCTTTTTTTTTTTTATGAATCGAGAATCAAAGCAACTATAGGAGAACAGTTTAAATAATACTTAATTAAAAATTTTATTAAAAATTTCAAGGAAAAAAAAATATATCTAGAATTTTGAAGAGATATTAAGAATTATTATAAAAATGTTTACTTTTTGTTGCAAAAACATTTTAGTATTACTTATATTTTTAAATTATACCTTAAGTTAACCCATATTTTGTAAACAAACACATAATAATTAAGAACCAAAACTCTTGTTTGCATTTTTAAAATGTGTTTTGTGTAAGTGGACAGTAAGAACAATGAATTAGAAAAAACGGCCTTTCTTAACAACACCAGTTAATATATAATAATTTAAAAATAACAATAGATAGTGGTTTTTTAATTTAAAATATAATTTGTACATTTCATCTAAATTGTTAATGGTTTTGAAATGGACAGAAAAGGGCATTGGTAGCAATTTTTAAATGACACATAATTTAATGTTCACAGGCACACATGTTCACATCTTGTGCCTGCAATCAATAAAACTTTTTATCCTAACAGATCAGTAATATTTCAGAGCAAGTATTACTTGGATAAAAAAATTTTACTTTTGATCTTTTTATAGCTTATCTTTTATAAAATTTATGTAAAATTAAGAAATGTCATTGAATAATTAAAACTGAAATTACAAATTTCTATAATACTTAAAAATTGTTTTAATTCATTTAATTTTTTTTAATAACTAAAATTCTTATACTCACAATGTTTTAAATAAAAACTGACAAAAAAAAAAATCAAAATTGCAAAATTCGATGTTAGTTCTGTTAAAATTATAACTTAAAACCATTGTGTAAACATTCTAAATTATTCAATTCTTAATAACAGTAAAAGAAGAACAAAATCCTAAGTAAACTTCCAGTTAAAAATTTTTAAAAAATAAAAATATGGTTATATTTTTTTTTTTCTTATTTAGTTAGGGATATTTAGTTCTCTTTCATAAAGAAAATATTTTAATTTTCTAAATAAAACTATAGTTAGAACACAAAACAGCTAATGTATTCATAACTATGGAAACACTAGTAAGTAGATTATTTTAACTTTATCTAAATATTAATAACAGCCATAAATTTGCTCCAAGTTTAACTTCTTTTAACTTTTCAAGACAGATTTGTATAAGTTCTGATGTTCTAAAAGAGGTGTCTTACAAGAGCATTTTGTCATTTTTAATATCACTCTTGGTTCTTTATTTTCAGTTGTTTTGCCTAAGACTTTTCAATATTATCTGGATATTCTTCAAAATCTAATTCATCATTGGAAGATTCAGTTGTAATGTCTGAAGTCTGGTCGGATTTGAATACTCCAATTGGTCTGAGGAAAATTTTCATTCTTAGTAAAAGTTCATAGACGATTGTCTTTTTAATTTGCTCATCATTCAATAAAATTGGGTGTTTCGAATCTACATGCACTGCAAGTTCTCATTGTCTAGCAAACACCTTGCTTTTTTCCTCATTTATTTATTAAAAGGACAATAAAATAGAAAATAAATAAGTATTTATCAATATAAATATTCCATAAATAAAAATAATAACTCAGTTTATCATTAATTTCCTTTTTCAATTCAATCTAATTTCTAACTGTCCAAAAAAAAAAACTGTGGAGACAGAGTCGACATGTTTTTAGCAACTCCATGACTCAAACTCCTTTTTACTCTGCTTAACTCTGATTCCGACTCCACGGCCATATTAAGAAGGTAGAAAAATATTTTTTTATCAATATTCAGCAAAGCATATTGATATTTTCTATTTTTGCTCTTTCACTGTTATATAGGTACCATTTAAAAATTTTCCACTAGTTATCGGATAAAAATTTAATTTAATTTAAAGGTATCACAAAATAAGGACATTTTTAAAAACTGAACAAAAGTTTTTGAATATAAATTTTTTTTTAAAAAAATGTTAGTTCTATAAACATAAAAATTAATTTAAAAATTTTTTTTCTAAAAAATATTTTTATTTCCGAAATATGCAAGGCTTGTAGGGATTTAAGTCTTGATTTTTTTTTCTTAAAAAGTATCAATTTAAATAAACATATGAATAATTGTATATAATCAACTACTTAAAAAAGCTTATTAAATGTTTTCAACTTCATATTAAAAATGTAAAATGTGTCTAAAAATTATGTCATAAAAATGTGGTCTAAAAAATTTTTCAAAAAAGTTTTATCTTAATACTTGAAAATGCAATGAACTCAAATAATTTTAGATTAATTTCATATCAACAATACATTTCAAGAGTAAATATTTGAATTCATTATTTGATTTTAATATTTGAAATAAGAAAAGAAAAATGTTAAAAAGAAACTATCATTTAAAAATAATCTATTCTGATATTTAAAAATAAAACTTTCAAAAATTTAATCAATACAATATTTTTATGTTATATTTATTACAATACATAATAAAAATTTATTCGACCCACAATTCTTTCAGAGATATTTTTTTTTATTTTCTGTAATAATACAATTACCACAAAAATTAAGGTCAACTTTTTAAAATCAAAAATAGGTATTTAACATTCCTAACATTATAAATTGGTTTTAAATGTCAAAAACAATGGATGAGGAAAAGAAAAACCATAAATAAAAAAGTATATAGCATAAAATTTACATTCCATTTAAACTGAGTATGTAATTTAATTAATTTTAATATAAATCATATTTGATTTGATTTCAACTTTCATGAATATAAAATTGCCAAAAGAAAAAGTTTTTAGAAAGAACGAAAAATTTGAAATGGAAAAAGCAGAAAAACTGCTGACAAATAACGTAAATTAAAAAACATATGTACCTCATCAAAGTTATAATTTCTAAAACATTTTAGACAATTTATTGTATTAATATTGATAATGTTTGTCCATTTAAAAAAATTATAGATATTTTTCTCTTTAAATTTCAATTGTCTAAAATTTCGATTAAAACAGTTTTAAAAAAAAATAATAATAATTTAATAAAATTGGAATAAGGCCTCTTTAAACAAAAACAATTGTTCAATTTAATTTTTTTATTTATTTATTTTGTTCAATATGAATAGGTTTATAACAAACATTTCATTTCTTTTTGTTAAAAGAATCATCAAATGAGGAAAAATTCATGATTTTAAAATATCAACAACTGTTGTAACAAAATGAAACATTGGCCAAATTTTCAGGAGAATACTTAAGAAAATAATGGATAAATATGAGTAACTGATTAACTTTTAGAAAAATAGATGGTGAATATTCATTGTTTCAATAAATCTATATGTTTCCGCGTCAATAAAACGATTTCATTTCATACGTTGATGACAATAAATTCCTTGAATTTGCCAGAATAAAATAAAGTTTCAAACAATTTTAAATTAACTTAATATTTTTAATGCTTCTGTTTTAAATTTTAAAGGCAATCTATTTCTGGTAACATCTAACTTTCTACTTGAAAATTTTTTCTTTCGTTTTTCTTACAATCATTTACGATATCAACAGTGCAATAGAAAATAAAGTTCAAATTCGCATTTCCGAAAACTTTTAACGAAAAAAAATATTTTTCAAAACAGAAAAATTGGATTAAAATCTACAAAATAATCAAAAAATTGAATCAGCCAAAACAAAGTGAATATTGAATTCAAATAGCACCACAAAGCAATTACAATAACTTATTCTCACCTGAGCACTATAATCCAAAGATTGCCGATTTAATTGGGCCATGAGTTACTTAACTGACGAGTATTTCAACTACAATATATTATATATCATTGTTAGAGCATTTTGTTTTCATCAACAAATTTTCACACACACAACAAAAAAACTAAGGACAAAGCTACAAAACATCCCATTGAACACAACCTATTTTAACACAACTTTTGCGTCCAACTTTCCACGTACACCGGCTGCTCGTAAATGTTTGGCTAAAAGTTTTTCACACCAAAAGATTGGGTCAGTTTCCGCTACGATATTTCGGGGCCCGCTCGAAACTGTTCTGGTGATGGCGTTCGAAAACAAACTGAAAAGTTTAAATAACTGTTGCAAAGTCCGATAAATGCCACAGATAATAAGAACCTATAAAAGGAAGTGAAATGCCTATCATTTCGGTGGCAACGAAAAATTAGTTTTCAAGTTTCCCTTAATTTGGCGGTTTATCTTACTACTGGCTATAAATTAAAGAATGCCAATTTGTTGCCCTGTTGAATATAATACTTCTGTTACAGTTATTTTTACCTATTTTAGATATTTTTTTATTCTTTATTTTTAAAAAAATAATTGCTATTAGTGTTTTGATACCTCCATAATTCATCTTTTTTTAAACACGTTTTACCATAACAAAATACAATGGATGGTGTTTTCTACACTAGGGAACGCTGCAAGCTCCATACCGCCTATACTTCCGGGTTACTGTCTCCGGTGTATTTTAAAGCCATTTGGCTCACAACGTGATCATTGTGTTTTGAGATTCTTGCAAGCGTGGTATTTGATTACTTATTACTTGTGTTAACAATGCTAACTATACTTGTGTTTACAATGCTAAAGGTGCTGCTAACACTAACGTAAGATGGTGCACGGCTTGCAACAAGAACAAACAGTAATAAGCAAATGGAAAGAGGCCAAATCAGAACTGCCAAAAAAAGCGAGTTATTCAACATCTAGCAACCATGCCACCTTTTTTAACAATCTATTTCTGAATAACTAAAACAAATTTTCACTTCAAACTCACCAGAATTTCATAATAACATTAATATCTAATGAAATACGGCAGATTTGAGCTCAGAAATGTATCTAATTTATTTCTTTTATTGAAAACAAAATTATCCGTTTGAAAATATCCCCTCGCAGAATAACATGCAGTAAGCAGCTGCAAAATTTCTAACCGGAGCTAGAGCAGGTATCGAGCTCGAGATTGTTTTCGCTCATATTTCCACTGAAAACATCACCCATATGCTACCACTAACGTATGATGGTGCACGGCTTGCAACAAGAACAAACAGTATTAAGCAAGTATAAAGATTCTAAATCGGGACTGCCAAAAAAGCGAGTTTTTTCTAAATCTAGCAATGATGTCACCTTTTTTAACAATACATTTATTCACCTTATCTGCAGACGGGGCTTATTTTCGCTTGCAGACGTAATGGTCCGCATAAACTTCCGGAGCAGCCGGAACTTATTTCTTTTCTAATGTTTTTACTTAGACTGATTCAATCAACGTTGATTAATATGAAAAGTTCATTTTTAGGAAAAATACATAAAAGCTAAATAAAGGTTCTTTGAATACATGAAAGCTGAAAAAGAAATAAAGGCTCTTTGAAGTGTGTTTGTTTTTAAAGTCTCTAAATAACTCAATATTAAGATCTATACGCAAACATTACCTGGAATTATTACAGAATGAAGCTCTACACTATTTTTTTTTTAGCATGGGCTATATTTGTTTCTACTCAGTGAGGAAGCAAAGGGCCCATGCTATCCCTCTCCTGAAATTTTGAGTTTAAAAAATATATATAATCTGAACAAAACGAACTTTCCTGTATATATTTCTTAAAATTTTTCCAAAAATAATTTTTTATCTAATATATATACAGTATTCTTATTCTTTAAATTTCAAGATTTCATCAAGCGTAATTTAAAATAAGATTGGTATGTTCCATTAATGTAATGTAAAATTTAAGGTAATATCTGAATAGAGAAGCATGACTTTTAACACTAAATAATTCAAATTCGTGTGTGCTATATTTGACATATAAAAAATAAAGTTACTTTAAACCAGAGGAGGCATTTTATGTGGCACACAAACTTAATTTAAATTGAAAAAAAAAAAAATTTGAAAAAATTTTAAATATAAAAGAATTAGTAAAAATTAAAACAATACAGAAATTACATTAGCAGGGTGATTGTGATCCCAGATCAAAATTCCGGAAAATTTCTTGAGTTTAAAAAAAAAAAATTAAAAAAAAACGATTTAAATTAAAAAATTAGAAAAAAATTAAAACATTGTTTTTTTTTCTTCCTTTTTCTCAATATTTCTTAGTTTACTTAAAATATATTTAAAATTTTGCACATACCTATTACCATTTGCACATATCTATGATGACCTGGAGAATTAATTAAAATTTACAAATATGGCTTTTTTCCTGGGGTTTATGATTATAACAACTATTTACTGATAAAAATTGAATATTAATCATGAATATAAGCTTATAAAGTATCTCTCTGGCTCTCCTTCACAAACTAATAAAATAAACTGTGTTTTTTAGTTCCACCTTTGAAAATTTGATTTCCGGAAACTTCTGTGATCAATAATTTTTTGAAACGTCTGGACCTTCGATCTCTGGAAACTTCAGGATCACTGCTGGCGAAAAATCCGGAAATCCGGATTTCTTCCGGAGCACAATCAGCCCTGCATTAGTGTTTGTATCCTTGTAAGTTTTCTCCTTATTATTTGTAATTGTAAAATTATTTCATTTTAAAAAAAAAGTAATTAAATGTAATTTTCTGTTTATTATTTTCTTGCTCATTTAAATAAAAAAAAGTGATGAGCAAAAAATTGTGATTGGTTAAATGTTAGCCATTGTTTAAATTTCACTAGAAACAATTCAAGATTTTAAAGATAACATCTGTGATATTTGCTAACGTATAGCTTTATTTGATCTAGAAAAAAAGTTACTGTACGTGTAATAATTCAACGAACAACATTAACACGGTAGCACTTATTGACTTGACATAAAATTTATATTAATAATTGCCATGTTCAGGATGCTCCAGTGTTGACCACCCCTGCTTTAAACAATTAAACTCCCTAACGAGAAATAAAATAAGTGCATTTTAAGAAAATTTGATAAAGTAACATATCTCTTGTTTTTTTTNTTTTTTTTTTTTTTTTTTTTTTTTTTTTTTTTTTTTTTTTTTTTTGAGTGCGGGAATTGAAGATATTGCTTTTATTTAAGAACGAAAAAAAATATTTCCATTAGGAAGTGTAATTTTTTGAAGAAAATAAAATTTCTGTTACAAATTGACAATAAAGCCACATTTTGTACTTCTTTTAATGTCATATCTGAAAGTTACAAGTTTTAAGCTGTGCATGTTTTTAGAATGCCATGAATAATTAGTATATCTGCGAGGCAAATATATCTTAACTTAATATTTAGCTGCTAGAGACACAGTGTCGTTTAAAAACTTTCATATTTTAAACTTTAAAATAACTCTCCAGAAAAAGGATCAGACAACTGAATATTATTTTTTCTATAATATATATTTCATATTATTTTTTATTGACAATTTTTTCTTGCCATCATTTCGATTTAATGAAACAGATTTTTAAATTTCCAAGCAACAAACGTTATCAAGATAAGAGAAAACGCCAATAATGTTTGGAAATCTGAAGCAAAACATAATAATAAGAAGGTTATAGCGATGTAGCGGAAGTTCGTACGGACCGGGTGAAGTTACTTCCGCTTAACTAGCTGTTGTTTGTTTATTTAGAAAACGAGGTTTTTTATTTAGAAAACTAAAACAAATTTTCACTTTAAAATCGCCAGAATTATTTAATATTATTAATATCTTATGAAATACAGCAGATTTGAGCTCAGAAATTAAATAATTTATTTCTTTTATTGAAAACAAATTATTAAGTCGACCAGGTGGCCGAGTGGTTAGCGTGCCTGACTGCGAAGCCGATGGTTGTGGGCTCGAATCCCGCTCAGGGCATGGATGTTTCTTTCTCTCTGTGTTCTATGTCCTTTCTCCTATGTGTGAATGTGAACCGCCCTATAAACGGTTTTGTGGATGTATGACGTGGGCGACGCTTCTGCACCGCCGGGGCTTCGCCTCAGGGGCTCACTGGGTAACGAAAAGAGAGTAGCGGTTCTGGCACTCCTGGCCAATGGGACGATACATCCCAAGCTCCCGCCATTAAAAAAAATTATTTTATTAAAAACAAAAGGAACTGTTTGGAAATATCGCTTAGTAGAATAAACTGTAGTAAGCAGCTGTATACTTTTTAACCTGAAAAAGAGCTCGAGATTGTTGTTGTTTACATTTCCATACGATAAAAATCTGTTGCATTAGATTTTCTGTAAAGTTAAGTCAGAGGTGCAAGTTTTAAATGTTCAAATTATCATACAAGCTGCAGATTATATAAAATTTCGTGAGAAAAAATAATAATAAGAGAAAAAAAACATTATCTTATATTTTAATACGCTCCGAAATATAGAACATAAAGAAACATAGGTATCAAAATATTATAAAATGAAAATGGAGAAATGTTTTGGCATTTTTGTGTAATTTAAAAATGAGTTGTTTAAGAGTTAGCGCATTTAAAACGAAGCTTTAACCAGGGTAACAACTTAAATTTACCTGTGATTTCCACGATTAATAAAAAAGTAAAATCAATTTGAAAAGGTTTAAAAACAATTCTAATATATTGGGAGAGCAAATATTTCCGATTTTCGTAAAAAACAGTAAAGAATATTGAAAAAAGTGAAACTTTTATAATTAAAATCACCCATTTCTTTACTACAGTTCAAACCGAAGATAATTTTTGTACAATAGTGTATTTGGTATAAAAATTCCTTTTCACTACGAATATTTTATTACGCTTGAAAGTTTATTTTTCTTTTATTTATTTATTTATTTATATACTTTTATAAAATAAAACAATTAAACCACATTGAACTAAACGTATCACCATTATAGATATTATAATTTTCGATATAATAGATTTTCCCTTCGGTCCAGGCGGAGAACTCGACAAATGCTCAACGAAACCGTATTGACTTCAATTGCTTTTCTATGAAGTGCTCAAAATTTATTAGTCATATAATATTCATGTGCTGGTTTTCGAATTCAAATATTTAAAATTGAACAAAAGAAGAAATTACTTTTACTCGTTATCTATAACTTTAAAAATTATCATGTGTGTGCTTTATTTTCTAAAAAAGAAAGGTTCTTTGAAATTTCGATGTTTCCGACGTTTAGGGGTTAATTAAGTTCCATTTAATCGAGTAGGAAAAAGGTCATGTTGAACATAGAAATTTCAAA